GGACCTGCTGGAAAGCAGCTCTGCCAAAAAGGACCTGGGAGTGCTGGTGGACAACAAGTTAACCATCAGCCAGCAATGTGCCCTTGTGGCCAAGAAGGCCAGTGGGCTCCTGGGGTGCATTAGGCAGAGTGTTGCCAGCAGGTCGAGGGAGGTGATCCTGCCCCTCTGCCTCAGCCCTGGGGAGGCCACACCTGGAGTGCTGTGTCCACTTCTGGGCTCCCCAGTACAAGAGAGACATGGCACTCCTGGAGAGAGTCCAGTGGAGGGCTGCAAAGATGATCAGGGGACTGGAGCATCTCTCCTATGTGTGTCCAATTCTGGGCTCCCCAGTACAAGAGAGACATGGCACTCCTGGAGAGAGTCCAGTGGAGGGCTGCAAAGATGATCAGGGGACTGGAGCATCTCTCCTATGAAGAAAGACTGCGAGAGCTGGGCCTGTTCAGCCTGGAGAAGAGAAGATTGAGAGGTGATCTGATCAACGTGTATAAGTATCTGAAGGGGGAGTGTCGAGAGGGTGAGGCCAATCTCTTCTCCGTGGTGCCCAGCAACAGGACGAGAGGCAATGGGCAGAAACTGAAACACAGGAAGTTCGGTCTGAACCTGAGGAAAAACTTCTTCACTGTGAGGGTGACAGAGCACTGGCACAGGTTGCCCAGAGAGGTAGTGGAGTCTCCTTCCCTGGAGATATTCACAACCCGTCTGGATGCGATCCTGGGAAATATGCTCTAGGTGACCCTGCTTGAGCAGAGATGATCTCCAGAGGTCCCTTCCAACCTCAACCATTCTGTGATTTGTAATGGGGATGGTCAAACATAGAAGTTTTGCTGAGAGAGACAATGTATCTCAATCCTTGAAGGTACCAGCCAAGGCCAGAAGAAACCGACTCCAAGTTGTCCTTGCTTTGAGTGTGGGATTGGACCAGACAGTTTCCATAGATCCCTTCCAACCACTCATTTGTATCTTCCTCATGTGGTACATGAATTATGTAGTTTTCAGAGGAAGGATTTTGGCAACTGTACAAGCACGTTGTGACTTCTTATTAAATGGCCCTTTAAACTACTCATTCTCCTTAACTGTTTCTGTGAGGCTCTGGCCTATTATCATATATCTATATAGATAATATACATTTTCCATTTTTAACAGAACCAAATATATTACCTATTAATATAGGTATGTTTTACATCTGTAGTAGGTAGTAGGTGCTATTACTAGATGAATCGTATGTATAAAAATGCTAAGGAGACTAGCTGTCCAAACTAAATCTGCCAAAAAGACACTGTCATTAAGAAAATGTAAGCTATTGTGTTCTGTGTGTGATAACTGAACTGTATTTTTGAGGGTTTTTTTGCTTGGTATCTTCGCAAACCAAGAAAATCAGATGCTGTAAATTGGTTACAAATTTGCTTTTTTTTTTTTTTTTTTTAAGATATAGTGTTGTGAGGATCCCTGAATCCTCACTGCATAGATAGGCAGTAAGTTTTGGATCCAATGTGCATGGTGTGTACAGGCTCCAGAATGCTGGAGCCTTGTTTGGTCAAATATGCATATGCTGGTAATGAGAAAATGCTGAAACATGATGCATGTATATATGTGGTGAATATTACACATCTTGTTTTTGTGTATGTGAAAACTGATCATGAACTGACATCTTAAAGACACTTTATATTACCTTTCCTATGTGCATAAATTGGTATTTACAGAGTTATCTAACACTTTAAATGTTTCTGAAAAATATCACTTTAGATATCCGTCCCTCTACATCCTCAGCAAAAAATGGAAAACATTAACAAAGGCATTATTGTTTAATAAAATGTCTGTAGATATCTGGAAGAGCAACCATTCTTTTAGAATGGTTGTGAAATGGTTTGGAACGTGAAAGGAGAGTAAGTGCTAACATGGTCTGGTTGAAATGCTTGTGAAGATTGCAGGCTAGTATATTAAGAGAAAGTAAATATTCTGAAGTGTAATTCATAATGAAGTACACAATTCACAGGAAGTACAGCTGGAGTTTCTACTGCATTGTAAGACAAATATCACTGTTGTAGATATAATATGGCTTTTAAGTGTTAGTGTGGGTTTGCTTTCTCCAGACTATAAACTAAACAACATTGATAAAGCAAGGAGAAGAGACATACTGTGTTAGTGACTTCTACTTGTTTGTTTTTGATGTGGAAATTTTGTAAGTAACTAGTGACAGGCTTAACAACATGCACCTTGAATAAGTGAGAGGGTCAGAAGTGATGAAAGATAAAGGTAAATTTGCTTTTTTCTAGTGAAGGGTTCTAGTTCGCATTCATGGTCTGCTAAATATTCTTTGATTTTCCTTGTTGATATGGCAAGAGAAATAATAACTGCAGCACTGGTTTTATCTGTGCAGAAGAAATACATATTATTACTTTGTGGCTCAAGTATGTCAGATGACCGAGTTTGAAGTCTCCATTGCATTTTTTTGAGAGAAGACTGTCTCATCTTATTACTGCAGATTATAAGTGGTTTGGATGTTTTAAGTTATTCTGAAAACACCTGTTAATGTAACAACGAGTGAATTTATTTTCAGAGCTAGTTTGAAATAGGGTCCTCTTTTGGAGGTCTTGGACACAGGTCTATAGGTAGGAACAAACAGCCTTTTTTCAGCACCACTGAAAATCCAGAGGAGAGTGTAAAAGTCAATATTGAAATTGTGACTGCTTATATTCTGTTCACTTTTGTTCTGTTTTTGTTGTTTTTTTTTGTTTTGATAATCCATAGGTCTTACTCCTACTACATTGAGGTGTCCATGGATGAGTTGGACTGGATTCGAGTGATCGATCACTCGAAGTACCTCTGTCGGTCCTGGCAGAAGCTGTACTTTCCTGCCCGTGTCTGCAGGTTAGTTCATCAATGTAATATTGCATGGCTATCATTAAATAGTGTAGACATCAGAAACAACTGCATTATGCATTTCTAATAATATGATATGCACAACTTTCATCAGTCATCTTAGAAAAAAAAAAAAAGTAGTCTGCCTATCTTGGTGAGTGCTTTTTAATATAAACATAGCTGATAAGTTGGAGGCGTTGCGTATCAAAACTCTGGTGCTTCCATCTCTTAATTATGTGAATCTTTCGCTCTCAATCATACTTACTTTTTCTCTTGCAGCTGCATTCTGAAAACCTAATAATGATATTTTTCACTCTGTAGTAAGCACCTTTCCTTAGCTGCTGAAAAGTTTAAAATGCTTTTAACTGTTGATGATGCAACTTGGGTGTCTCCTTTTTTATATATTTTTTTGCTGTTGCATCGTATTTTTAACACCCAGTTATGAAAGGCAGAATAGAGAGAATTAGGGTTAAGGAAACTTGAGCAACGCTTTGTGTAAGCCTGAGCAATTCTTTTTGTAAGACAAAGCAGCTAGATGAATTTAATAATCATTGAGGTGATTATGTCTTTTTACTGTAGCAACTGGGAATTCTGGGAGAAGCTTTGTGGCCACCAGGAAAGCCATCTTACTGGGTGCCAGTGCAGGTTCCAAAGGCATCCTGTGCCATAGACCCAAAGAGGAAATGCTCTATCTATTGCAATAATTATTCTGTAGACAAAAACTGCTTGTTGACCACAACAGTCTTTGGGATCCCTTAGGAGGGGAAGTGCTTTCTTTTCCACAGTGACCTTTTACCCTGACCTTCACTACTGCATGATGGTTGCAGTCTGTTTGCAAAGTGGGTCACCTGTGTGTCCGTCCTTCTCTGCCTGCCTCTCAGCCTGCCTCTCCTGTTGTAGTAAGTTTATGCTGAGTGTAACTAACTTAAATTTTATTTTTCCTGGTATGGACAATGCATTCTCACCTTTTCCCTGTGTATTTTATGATTCTGATTATACTTGCTACTTTGTTTGAAATGGTTGGAGCTGTCCCCTCGTTTGTGAGTATGTCTGATAAATCTTTGCCTGAAGGAGTCTCTGATAAAACATCCAGCAGTGATGAAATTCCACAGGGAGTTTATAGGCATGTATGGGAATTTCTTTTCTTATTACCTTAGCTTGGTGGGAAGTGGTCAGACTGTTGATAAGCACAGCCTTTTTGCCAGCTGCTAGCAAGAAGATTTGAAGAGATCTAGGATTTTATGGTGGGACTTCTCTAAATCTTCTTTCAAAAACAGCCATCTGAAATACTGTCTGAAAGCGATAAACATCATTTATTTGTCATTCCCCTCCCTGACCCCTGCGCCTCTGCCACCTGTTTTCATCTCTGTGGGAAATAAGATTATTACATATGTTAAATTTTGAGAACATCGTTGTTTTATTTTGATGTAAGCCTTGTCTGAAAGCAGAGAGAGAGAAGAATGGAGGGAAGAATGTTATTCCAGTGGTTGAGGTGGTGCCAGGACTTAATCATTTTTGGTTGAAAAGGACTTTTGAATCCTCCTTAGATTGTATGCCCGCTCTCCAAGGAACAGATTACTTGTGGGGAGTTCAGTTCATGCTCTTATCACTTGCTATTCTCTGAGGTAAATTGCTAGATTGGATACTGTGGTGTTTTTGTCTCCACCATTGTGAGCTCAGATTTAAAATATGAGCCAATATGAGATTATCTCAAAATATGTTCCTTTAACACTTGTCGTTCTGTTTTGACAAACAGGAATTATGCATGCACATCAAAGGGCAGATATCCTTTAAGTAGATTATATGCTCTGTCCAGAAAGAAATTGTCATCAAATTATCAACAGATAATGAATAAAAATCGCCCAATTTGAAGGCATAAAACACCTTCCCTCCCCATTTTTAAAGGAAGACTATAATGTAACTCAGCAAATCCTTCATATTTATTAGCACTTGGTTACGCGCTGCATTCTTTTTAAGCCTTATAAACCAAAATTAGTTATGTGTTCACATTGCTCGACAGTGCTTCTGCTGTATACTCTTGAGTTAGTAAGCCCCAGTGTCAAAATTTTTCTTTTCATGGACAACAATTGTGAAATGCATTGCAACCATCAAACTTCACTCTGTCTTCTGGTCGTTAATTTTAACGTTTTTTCCCCTGTAGTTTTAGTACTATGGTTATATGCTCCTTGCAAGGAACCAATTAGGGAATCTTGCAGATTTTTTTTCTTTTTTTAAGTTTATATATGTTGTCAACAGAAGATGCTAAACCAATTATCTTTCACAGTGCCTTTTTTTTTTTTCTTTATAGGCTTCAGAGCAATTTTTAAAAGAGGAAGATTTTAGCTCAAGCTGCTTTATAATATCACTGCGTAGGAAGAATTTTTTGAGGAATAAGGGAGAATAGAACCATGAGTGGAGACTGGGGTTATATCTGCATTAGCTGCAGTTCTTATTTACATACCTACTTGAAAACAAGGGAGTGGAACAAGACAGATTCTGTACTTTATGTTGAAAGATAGCGTGATGTGTCTAATGCACTGGAGCAATTATTCAAATATAAATTATAAAGGGGATATTAGCCCTTTAACACTGGCAGGGTTAGTTGTCTTTCTGAGTTATGTCTCGTACATATTAGTCATGGAAGTTGAGAGCTGTCGAGGGTTGAACTAGCATATGCATCTGAGTTTTAAGAAGGTGCCCTAGCATTTCTAAGTGCATAAACACTGATTGAGTGTGTTTCCTATTTGTATGTATGCAGTTTTCCCTCCTTCCCCCCCCCTTTTTTTTGGAAAACCTTTCATTTTTGTCTTGGGTGAATCTTCGTCCATTTACAGATCTGTGTTTCTCTGTAATCAGTACATTTTTCACACCAACTGAATGAGAAAGATGCAACTTTGTGACAATTAGTTTTTAAATAAATAGCAATCTGTATTGCAATGAGCTAAGACCAATTCAGTCTGTTTAGTCAGTCCTTTATTGTATTACATATATTATGCCGTCTGTTGTAACTTTTATTTTGGTTATTTGGAACATTGCATATTATCTGCATTAGTTTTGTAACTATGGGCATTGTTGTGCTTTTCATGAAAAATATTTTATATTGGCAAGGCATGTACCAAGGCATCCAAACTGATTAGATAGGCTCATGGATCTCAGTAAAATTATATGACTGTTCACACTCGTTATTTGTTCTTGTTACTCAGATCTGTGCTTTAATAGGTTCAAAAATAACTTTTGGCAGCCATAACCTTCACCTAGATTAGCACATGAAAAATGGAAGAATAGAGACCAAAGACTCTAAATTTCTTTATTTACAATGAGGAGATTGTTTATGCTTTCTCAAACACAGAAGAAGATCTCTTTGTTATTTATAGGTTGTGATCCTTGACTTAGATATCCAAGCTATTTTGCACAAGGAGGATTATCATAAAGTTCAATGCCTATGAAATAAAAGACATGTTGCTGTATTTTGTGGATGTTTTAGTAAAAAACACTGCTAGGTACAAGACCCGGGCTTTTTTAACAACATAATGGTATTTGAGAGAGACTTTTAATTTTTGCTTTAAGTATTTTTGGGAGATATGTTGTTCCATCAGCTTTAAGAATTAAGCAGCCATATACTATGTAGAAAAAGCAAATAAGAGAGGAGAGTGCAAGGTGACTTTCTTTTTAAATTTGGTTCTGTATTTTTGAAATGAGCAATTTCATTTGTCCCAATTTCACTGTTTGCACTTATATATCAATTTTCTTCTAAAGCTGTACACATCTTTTTAAAACGATGGAAGACAAAAAGTAGTCTTGTATGCAGGTCCCTGGTAGAGTTAGGAAAAGGTATCAGGTTTTTAGTTAATCCAACTTCCTATTTTAGTAGGAGTATAGACAAGAATGTTTGTGTTTGTTATTGCTGTGTGGTTTGCTACTGATTTTGAAATGAATATTTTTCTGCTGTAGCTTAAAGTATTTTTTGATATGTATCTATTAATCCAACAGTATAACCTGTTCATTGTTCATCTTAAAAAAAAAAAAAAGAACTCCGACTTCTTGATAATATTAAAGCAAAAAAAACTTATTTCATTTTTAGCACTTTACTTGATATACAGAAGACAATGCAGAATTGTGTTACGTCTCAAGAAATCAGTGATAAACTTCATAGAAGAACTTCATTTAGGGTATTATTCATGAACCATGAGGACATAAGTTCAAATGAGTAAGAAACAATACTTCCTTTAGAAAAAATAAAAGTATGCAGCTCTTCAAATAGTGATGGTGGCTGGGATTGTGTTCTGACCTGCAATTTTTTCTTGAAATAAAAAAGCAGCAAATATTTTGAGACCTTATCAAGTGAATGTTAATACCTCTAAAGGCCTTTGAATAGGCAATGCTATTTTCTGTTCTGTCCCTTTTTGTTTTCTGTTTGATCCTGTCCTTTTATTTGTTTTGCAAATACATCTTTTTAATTTGTCACAGTCCACAAACTTTGAAGAATTTATTTGGATTTTTGAAGAATTTAATTAAAACTGTTACAAGAAAATAAAAATTTTAAGAGATCTCACATAAAACAAATGTAGCCACAAGATGTCTCTATGATGCAGCTTTAAAAGACTTCATTTCCTTCTGTGTTTCAACTCCTTTTAGTGAAAACTATTAGTGCTGGGGTGTATTGTGTTTGTATCCTAACCTTCACAGGTTTATGGTTCGTTCTGATTATGGAGAGAGCAAGTACAGAGATGGCATGCTAAATTAGTAGTGACTTCTCAAATCTTTTTTCATGTTTTTATCTGACATCAGATGACACTGAATTTTAATTGGATGAGTAATTGTCCAGTTAGACCAATTTATAATCTGAAAAGTAATGTTGTTTTGCCAATAATACTAGAATTTTTAAAAGGTTATGAACGGGGGGGAAGGTCAAATTTTAATCTTTGTTACTGTTTTGTTGTCTTTGCCAATACTTATTGTAGAAAGTACTTTTTTCTTATTTTTCTTATTATTCTTATTTTCTTACTCTT